TCCTCTGGCCCAGATGGCCACATAAGCCCTGGCCAGTCCTTGCGCTGGCTGGTCCCTGACCCTTTCCAGACATTTCAGTCCCTGCCTCTCTGTGCAACTCCATGAACTGTTAGTCTTCTAGCTGCCTGAGCACAGCCATCAGACAGCAAGTGTTGTTCAGTTGGTGCTTGGGATAGGCGTGGGCTACAAATAGAAACCAGCAAGCGAGGAGACGTCTCAGACACCGTTTGCATTATTCTGGCTTTTGCTGAAAGTGATGTATGCAGCTGGGCACAGAAACTAAGTTACTGTATCACCAAGAGAAATACTGATGCTAAAATATTGTGGCGTTAGGTATTTGAGAAGACATTTATGCACAATAGCCTCTTTTCTAAAATTTACATGGCAGTCTAACATGTACTCCTTTCTGTTGAAATGTTTCACAAGTTGTGTCGCCTGTTTCTCATTTCATCTCTGTCTTCACCCACCATTTCTTAAGTCGAGCACTTGGCTGCACAGCGCTTGGGGACAGGCACTTGTGTTCTATTGCACATTTGTAGGAAACATGGACACCAGTAATTGTGTGTTTGCGGTTGTCTTTCCCTTGTTTATTTGCTCCCACCTGAGGAAACCTACACACTTTCACCAGGAAGACAAGTGTTCATTCATCAAAAAGGAGATTCACAAGCAGAGAACATGTCACAACCCTCAGAATTATTACAAAACAGATCTCACTTATTCTCGCCTGGCTTCCGTGGCGAATACTTCAGTAGGATGGTCTTTGACTACAGGGCGCAAGAAGAGAAACTCTTTGGGGCATGCAGTTATGGTGTACCCATATGACTTTTTTAAGGCCCTGTTTATGAGCTTGTCAAGAGTAATTATTAATATTTCCGCGACAATTAGGTGACTTGGTATAACTCAGAGCAGACCATGTTGGGTTGTGTGCCCTTCAATCGATGCTGACTCCCAAAGACCCTTCAGGACACAGTAGAACTGCCCCCCACGGTTTCCGAAGCCAAAATCCTAACAAGAGACATTATCAGTTCTTTTCTCCTGTGGAGCTGCTGGTGGATTGGAATCCCCAACCTTTCAGTTAGCAGCCAGCTGCTTACCTGTTGCCCTATCAGAACTCCACAATAAGTTATAAGATGTATCATATTCTGCTGCCTGCAGAGCAGATAGGATCCTAAAAGACCGCACTGCCGTGAAAAGACTTCCATATAGACACAGTTATGTTTTCTATTCTTTGATTCCGCTTTCACAAGCAATTCTGGCATATTTGGCTTTTCTCCCCCGGGTCTTTCCAGGGTCGCTGAGTTAGCAACCCCTGGATATTTTAACTTCTGTCGTTCTTTTAATTGTCATGCCATCTTTCCTTGTTCCCTTGCTTGTCCTCCATCATGCAGTGCTGATACCAGGTTTACAGAACATAGGGGTGAATCATTCCTTTGACACACAGGTGTGGTGCAAAGACTTCCACGGGGACCTTCTGTGGCTGTGACCTAGTGAACTGGCTGATCGAAGTCGGCCTGGCGTCTGACCGCGGGGAAGCTGTGATATATGGCGACAGACTGGTGCAAGGGGGAGTCATCCAACACATTACCAATGAGTACGAGTTTCGGGACGAGTACTTGTTCTACAGATTTCTCCAGAAAAGCCCTGAACAGAGTCCTCCTGCTATTAATGCCGCCACCCTCCAGCAGGAGCGATATCAAGAAATTGAGCATTAATCTCCACCCTCTAAATTTCTCCAAAGACATAAATGACAAAAGAAAGAGCCCCACAGGGAGGCATGTTCCAACCCCTTCCTATTACTGATGTGCTGTGTGACCTTAGGCAAGTCCCAACCTCTCTGAGCCTCATTGACCTCTTTTGTAAAATGAAGGGAATTGGTAAGCCATGTTCCCACTCCACACCAACATTCTATAATTTCATGTGTACTTAAAACCTGTAAAGACCCAATCAACGTTTAAAGTTCTGATAATAAACATAAGTTCTATAAATAATACTAATCATGCCAACATTTTGAAAGTATTGCTGTCTGCAACTGTTTGTTGTAATTTCAGAATCAACAGCCGATTGACCATTCCCTTCAATTGCCAGTTTGACAAGTGTACTCCTGGCAGTAAGAGAAACTTAAATTATGGCAGCCTTGCACTTATTAATCGCACCTGCTAAAAGAGAATTTTAGTGATTCTAATAGAGGCCTTCTTATTCTTCTTGTTTTTCCCATTTCTTTGATAAGCGGTACACTTTAAAAATGGAAGGACTATTTTTGTAAAGGCTCAGTATTTCTTGCTTTTGTGCCGAGAGTGTAATCTGTACCATTATGAGGGGAGGGGGTAAATGCCTCTAGGAATACTGTGATCACAACCGAAATAGAGTCCATTAATTTTTGTATCCTGATCATTTGAATAGATTTGCTTAAATTTTGTTAACAAAATTACTACCACTGATGAACTATTTCTAGTGTTTACACAGAGCATCGAAGTACAAGATAACCCAATTACTTATTCCCTATTGTCAGGGCCAAAATAGATATATAGTTTAAGTCAAGATTTTCAAATTGTAAGTTTAATATTCTTCTATTACTTTTATAATTTAGTCTTCTTTAAGTACCCATGTATAAAATTATATAAATTGTAAAGTTATAAAATGTTGGCCTCAGGTAAGTTTATCTTCAGTGAATTAAAGAGAAATTGAACTACTTAAACTTTAATTACCTCATTTAAGTCCCATTCACATAACCTTTGAACCTCTATTTAACCTACTTACCTGTCTGTGTTGGTTTTAATTTATGTAAAACACATTTCCAATATTTGTTTAACATATCTCAGATTTTTAGTGTTTTATATGTAAAAGCCAACTAGAAAAGAATTGATAAAGTTAGTGTCATTATCCCTTTAATGCAAAAATATATATAATTAAAAAGGAAACCTGCATGGAAGCCTCATATATTTAACATGACATTTAGTGTATATTAACTTATATACATTTATAAAGTAAATGACATTTTAGTGTATATTAACTTATACAGTTTAAAATCTGATTGGGGGTGGGGATGTTTTTAAGCAGAATTGTCTTGCTGAGAAGCTTTGAAAAGCAAAACTCAATCCTGGCCACATTATAGCTCTCACTGGGTCTCTGTTGTTCTGAGATAACTCTTCCAGTTACAGCAGAACTGTTCATTCACATGCATGCAGGCAACTCAAATGCAAACGGAGAATCTTGGTTTGTAAGCAAGTCATATCATGTATGTTCTGTGGTTTGCACTGAAGGGACCTGTCGCATCTTTCCCCCTGGGAAAAACTAAAAGAAAGTGCTGGATCAGAATGCCCTGCAGTTTCAGAGACTGCGGACTTTTAGGAGATGTTTTTAGAATTCAGGATATGCTCATTTTGTGAAATGAAAACGTTTGTAACTATTTCTCACCAACAACGCAAGTTTCTCAGTAAAATGGTTATTTTAACTTGTACTGCCAGTGTGTTTTCTTTGAGTTCTCTGAATAATTCAGAACTCATTGTGGAGGTCTTGTCTGTCATTTCTGAACAATTTCTCAAGTGGCTTTCCTAAGGTGATCCTATGAGATGTGTGGATTGTGCCTTGCCCAACGGTGCATTCTGTAAATACATTTTTATGAATGAGCTGGTATGACAGTGAAATTCTTTTCACACACGTAATTATTTCTAGGAAACAATTTTGAAGATGAAAATTTATATGAAGAGATATATAAACTGATGTTTCCAAGTAAATGATCATTCTCTATATGGGTAAAAAATAACAACAGCATTTAAGGGCTGACAAAAAGTAAACAATTTTAGTGACTATATTTTAGTCATATGACAGATAAAATTAAGAAAGCATTAACATCTCTAAATGATAAAAGGCATTAATTACCAACACATGTACCTGTAGTTAAATACCACATTGAATTTATAGAGTGTATGTGTCTTCTGAATTGCTGTATACATTTATTTACCTATTTTTATAATAAACTCTTGCCCTAATGTAGAAGTTATTCCAATTTCCAATATGAATCAAGGTAGCAGGCTGACTTGAGACTTAGCAAAGGTTTCCAAATTGTACAGATACACTACCTGAATGACTTGTCCAGGCAGTGTGAGGCTGTATAAATTCTCTCTTAGTACTTGGTCATTTAACACATGCTTATTTGACATCCACCATGAGCCCTGGTCACACATTGAACTGCTAATTGCAAGGTCAGAAGTTTGAACCCACTAGCTGCTCCATAGGAGAAAGATGAGGCTTCTGCACCAATTAAGGTTTATGGTGGCCTCTGAAACCCACGATGGGGCAGTTGTCCTACAGGGCCATTAGGGGGCAGAATCCATTGTTAGCAGTGAGTATAGGCCACACAGCTTTAAATGGCAGACAGAAAACAGTGAGGGGAAAAAAAAAAACACTTCCTATTGTCATAGAGGAGCCCAGGTAGTGCAACAGGGAGGCACTGGCCTGCTAACCAAATACTGGCAGTTCACACCCAGACAGCAGCTTCACAGCGAAAAGACTTTGGTGTTTTGATTCTGAAAGCCCATGGTCCTGAAAATTCAGAACAGTCCTGCCCTGTGCAGTGGGTCCACCATGAGTTGGCCTCACTACCTCAATATGAAGAGGTGGAATGAATGTTGCAGGAAGACTGAGCAGTCATGAAAGCTAGAGCTACAAGGACTTGAAGAGCATCAGTGTGGACAGTAACAAAAGAAAGAGAATATATTAGTCTGGGTTGACCAGAGAAACAAATCCACAGACACTCATGTGTATAAGAAAGAGCTTCATATTCAAGAGTAATTTTGCATTGAGAAAAAACCCAGCTCAGTTCAGATCAACTCCATAAGTCTGATATTAGACCATCTATCCAATACCAGTCTACAAATTCTTCTGCAGATTGATGCAACATGCAATGACACCAATGCAGCAAGATCACAGTCTGGTGAGTGGAAATTCTGTGGGTATAGTGGCAGTGGAAGCATCTCAGAGCTGGCATGACTCTCCATGTGGCTCCTCCAGATCCAAGGCCCAGGCCCCATCAGTGTAACTCCATGCGGCATGTCAACAGTAAACTGTGTGCCGGCTCCTGGGAGGAAACCACTAGTTCCCAGAATCTTCAGGAGAAGGCCAAGCACACAGAGAGGGCTCATTGCGTACTACCTGATTGCTAGGCTAGACACCATCCTTTCCACTAACAGACAAGAGATGCGGTAACTACCACAGTGAATAAGGCACAAATTGAACATGAGGAAATTAGTTTCTCTCAGTGACTAAAACTTATCTTAAATAACAATTTGAAAAAACAAAGGACATTATTATCTAGATATCCTATTTAGGTAATACAAAATGTGAAAAAAACCCAATACAGACAGGAAACAAAATATAGAGTACAAGAAGTTAGTCCTTAAGAAAAACTTAATTAAAATAGAGAAAATATGTCAAGGAAGTGAATTTTCCTAAG